AGAAAAACCCAACAATGGAGAAGGCGGGAAGGATTAATTTACTCCAATCGGTTGGCATGGCTCAGGCTTGCAGATGTGGTCTTGCTTGTGTAACTTATCTCTTTTTTTCATATTAAACATATTGTTCTATCTCCAACCTAAATGTGTTCACCACTATATATTGGCAATGATTACATAGAACGAGTCAGTGTAGACTGTGATGTGACTTCCACGTAAGATCTTATGGATTAGACAGTCACATCATGACAAATCTACAATTTTAGGATTAGGTCTACTATGAGAGCAGTACCAATAACGAAGTAGACCATAATTTTACACATGTATTGTAGCGGATGGGAATTCAATTGTGGAAAACCAATTTGTTGTCGATTAAAAAATAACAGAATATTCTTGAGTCACATTTTGACCTTGTTAATCATTCGCTTATCAACCTTGACTGTTTCTATGTAAGAGTATGTGTGTGGATTTTTTTATCTTACTCATCACATGCCTGTAACTTATTTTTGTTAGGCCATAAATATCGATTAACGCTTGATCAAATCGAGTTGGCTCACACAAGTTCTCTCGTCATTTTGATTTACTCTCTTCTCTTCGCTTTATTCTTCCGATTGTAGGTCCAGACCAGTGAGTGTGCAAAACATATGCATGTAAAAATCCGCTATCGTATTTGACGCATTTAATTCCGTTATTACCTAACGGGATTTAAGTGTATGATTATAAACGAGAATAGTCGGGATGTATATTTCGACTATTATTATTTGATAGCAGTCAGAAACGATCCAAATGGAATCAGATATACTGCAATGAAACACCACAATATATGTATTCTTTCTCGTTTTTTTCCAATTGCTCCCAAGTGCTGGATGTTTTTATCTCTTCATTTTGATTTTAACGTTTTTGTTACACCTCCTTCAGTACATCTGTAACTGCTATCGTCCTCCATCTTACGCTTTGTTTTTTTCTGAACTTTTCCTTGTTTGTATCCGCAGCATACTGATTCAGCTGTTCATTAAAAGTCATCGGTGTGTTCAATCATTGTTTACCTTCTCTGATGATGATGGCTGTTATGGATGCAGAATAATGTGCCAATCATTATCATGTTAAGCCTAGTGATGTCCTTGGACGTTAAGTGGACATTTCCTACTGGCCATTATTTATTTCATCCGTTAAATATTGTACAAATGTTTTCTATTTTTATGGTACGATGTGGTATGTTTGGTTAGTATATAAATAGAGTATGTCTGAAATACAATGATTCATATCTCCGAGGCTGTGACTTGTGTTCTGGACTCAACTGACTGGGCTAGACAGGGAAGCAGGACCAATCGAGACTCTAGGCCGTTCGTACGTGTTTACGTGTCATTGGATCGATCGATAAATACGCTGCTCTCTAATTTTTCCAGTCAAGGACACAACAATTAGCACAGGGTAAAAATCGACCGCAACTTAAAGTCATAACCATGACATTCATTGCGAGAGTTCTATTAACGGTCCCGTGACATGTGCACAGGTCTACCGTCAGTCGCGTATGGACGTTTCTGCTAATCAGCACCACTCTGGTTCTGTAGAGAATATTGCCTACCATATTCCAAGCTATCTTGCCCACGAATTTGTCATAAGTCATATGTGGACGTAGAGTAGTGGTGATGGTTGTCTGATCGTTAAGGGTGTTGTCACCCTATACATAAATTTGTTAGACAGATGTTTTGATCGTAGCCCACTGTCAAATATTAACTAGTGCGCGCTTGCACATTTCTTACCAGAGTGACACGTTTCGACTTAGGACATGGGACATCATTTTTGCACATTTTCCTCACATGCCGATGCGTGCTTGCCAACATTCTCTACCAAGCACAATGGTGAAGGGTTTTTCAAAACTCTCCTACTGTAAGCAGTTGGAACGCCAAATTCTTTACTCATTATCTTGTTGTAGAAAAAACGATGATCTCATATTGAAATTCTGCATCTCGGTTATTGATTTTAGCGTTGACATGTCTTATCCTTCTGAACAAAATAATTCCAAATACTTCTGAAGTCGTTTCAGAAATCGCAATCAGATCAACTCAAAGTAAGACTCTGTTTTCTCATTGTGTGGTCAATGATTGGGACGCCTATTAAGGAACACTTTCGAATACAAGTTAGATCTCAAGTGAAAACCAATCTGCAAGTATCACCACAGATTTACCGGCACATCATCCTTTTGATGGAAGACTGAAAAGACAATTTTCTATTGACATGAAATAATCTTGACATTACTCAAAATTCTGCAGGGTATCTTTCAAAATTTGATTCCAGGACGGGCCCAAAAGACACTGAAGCATGCTTAACGGAAAGTACTTTTGTTCTGCTCTTTGCTATTTTCCATTTGAATTGGAAATTTCTTGCAGCAATACAAAATCGAGTGTTACATATCGGAGTTCAAGGCCACTCTTAAAGAATGTCAATATCTTATGATGCATGCTGATATTGTGGAAGAAAACGACTCCGAAATACTGATAAAAGTGTTGAGTGGTTCATTATCGAATTCCGGAATTTATCAGCAGTTGTACAGTTTAATCGTTAATAAACAATATAGTTGCTTGCAGTGTCTTTTGAAGCATTCACAATGTATGTCGCAATAATGTTTTGCTGGTAACACTGTGTTTTAGTAGACTTTTATGAACCTTTTGAAGCAGATGGGTTTCGGCTGGTAAGTTACCTAAATAAGTATTTATACCAGTGTGAAAACTATCTAATCTCCCGATTTTGCAGAAGTTTTAGGGTTTTCCCAAAAGTAATGCATATTATTGCATATTACCAGCGACTTAATATTTCACGGAACGTTTACAAATAATTTAGAGTCAGTATAAAATCTTACAATCTCAGTAGTTGTATAAACATAGACTTTGAATTAGTTTTCAGTGTGTAGTGAACATTCAAAACTTTTTGCTTTGTTAGAATAAACAGAATGTCGATCGGTTAGTGGAATATTCATACTGCACGACTGGCTTATGCATTCATACCGAAATGCGGTGCAGCTTGTTGGCGAAATTAATACTTGGTCGTTAGACTGAATTCTTGTTCGTTATATCAGTTTTATTTACCAGTTGACTTAAATGTTACCTGATTCCGATGCGTTGTCCACTAAACCGTGCGAATTCAGCGATGCAAAACTCCTAGTCAAGATTATAAAAATTGTGTGATTATTTTGACCGATTTCAATAACTGAATATCCTTATTTTCGGAAATAGTATAGATTTTTCCTTTTTAACGTCAATATCCAGATATTCTCGGTGTATATTGTCTCCATTAACAGTGAACACATAGGTGTCTCTTATTATCAGACTTGGTTTAGGACCTGTACACGAAGTATTTAGTCGGTGCAATAGGGTATTCTTGTATCGTTATTATTATCGCTTACTTATTTCATTTATATTACTCAAATTTGGTATAATAAGGCACAAAAAATTACCACACAAATTAAAATGGTAATACTGTTAAGAAAGGTCGGAGGGAGGGTGCATTTTTAAAATAATTAAGCAAAGGATAAAAATTTACATCAGTCAGGTTGTTAAAATTGTACTTCTCATACTCAGATGCTGAGCAATATGTAAATTATGAGTTGAGTTAAAGCATCACACATATTCTATGATAAACAAAACAAGAAGGACATATTTTATTGCCACTTCTATGGATGATGATTGAAAAAGTGATTCCGGTATTTCCACCAATTTCTATTTGGATCAGTACCTAATATCGTCCCACTCCACTTAGTTTGATGATCTCTAGGGTCCTATCCAGGTAGCCGCAATGGACCAATAAATACTAACCCCATGCAGCTTTCTTCGCATGGAACGAAGGCAAAACATTACACTTTTTCTGTTCTTATTATACGTGACCACAAAGCCCATTCCGTAGCATTCGTGAAGCAACCTTAACTAACACCATTGTTAGGTTGAAACAATTGAAAGAAATGAGGATGCGAGTTGTTTGTTCATAATCACCTTAAGATGCATTTTAAAGCCCTTTAAAGATATAAGTAAAAGCTGACCACTGATGGAAAAGTCGAAGATCATGATTTACTCTCATGCTTGCTTCATGCTTAGTGAAATGCTGAGCAAGTGTATTGTCTCTGAAATCATTCTACTGCAAACATAGTGGTCGTTCGATAGCAACTCACGAGCTGTATGAGTATTTTTCAGGACTTTACACTACTGTCACTTTATCTAGGTTATAGACACCCAATAATATTACTTCCTTCATTTATGACTTCAGTTTTTGCAAATTTCACCGCTTTCATTTCCTAATAATCAATCCAAGTAACAGTTCATTCTACTTTTTTAATTGTTGTGTAATGTTTATTAGAAATGAAGTGACATTGTCAAATGATTTTGGATATTCCTTAATGACTTCGATTGAAACGACACGTTTATTTTTAGATTTAGAACTTTCGTAATACTTTTGATAATTTTCCAATTGGTCTACCTCATGTTATTTTTGTCCCTAAATTTAGCCAATTCTACATCATGCTATTCGATTGGGTGACTTTAATGTTTTCAAATTACTCTTGGAAAATGGTTTAAATCCTCTTGTATGTATTGGTATTTGTCAGCAAAATGACACAGAATTCGTCTGTGAAGATATCGTACAATTTGCATTTCGTTTTACGTCTAATCCAAATAATCAAAAATCTATATCACTATTGTTTCAAACATTCTTACGTTAGTGAGATTCATTATGATTACTTGTTATAAACTGTATGTTTTTTTCATATTGGAGTTTATGATTTCAATGGTTTGATTAACTAAAATGTTCGAATTTAAGTAATTTGTCTTCATAAAGTATTCAATCAAAATAATTTGGCAGAACTATGTATATCAGATAGCTGATGGGCTTTATCAAATGAATTTGTACTTGATCAGTGATCGAAGATAGACAAAAATGAATAGACCACATACAGTAGACGGATTTAATGGCCCAATTCATTTTGCCATTTCCATTTCCAGTTGTTATGTACTAAGTATCAGTATACTCTTATTGTCGTTGTCTATATGTGGTTCTTAACAAAGCAGTTTGACTTTGCGTTCGAGGTTCCGTGATTTAGCGGTCACAGGTATAGTATATAAGGCTGTGTTTACGAAAACACGTAGTGGAGTGTCGATAACATCCAAAGTTAGAAGAATAAGTCAGCAGTCATAAAGATAAAAATGATTACAATATAATGTATGATCTCTATGAGTAGAAAAATCAGATTTTCTGACGTTTCACGACTCAGTGTAAGCCACTTCTTCAGGGAATAAATAACCATGCATAATTTTCCTGATTGGTTGATAAATTGGATCGATTTCAATGTGCTTGTTGATTGCTGATTGACCTGACTGCCAAGCTTCTAAAAACTCTCCGGTGTTTTTGGAATTGACTATCCAAGATTTCCACATTTTTCCAGTTAAATGAGTGTCCGCAGTTGTCCACGTGCATTGATATAAGTGAGAAAATATCATGGCGTTTGACTGCTAATTGATATTCATGCAGGCGAAGATGTAGAGGGCATCCGCTTTGTCCTATGTAGCGTTTTTCACAGTCGGCACAATTGTGCCAAAATTATGCACAAATATAGGAACAAAAATCGAACCAATGGGAGATACGACCAAAATAAAGAAGTAAACAATGACAGATTTAAGGTCGACAAGAACCAATCAACATCGAGGTCTACAGGATAAGCTGTGAACCATATATGGAGAAATTCGAACGCTTCACATCTATCTGAAGTTTGTGCTGATGATGTCGTTCAGAAGAAAGATGAAATCGTTTACAATATAAAATAGTTTATTAAAAATGTAGTGCGTAAAGCATAACTGTCTATACTCACTAATCAAGCCATGAATTATTTCCACTGAACATGCTAATACTTGTTTTCGAAATTGTACATTTTTTAATTAATAATTGTTTAATGTGTCCTTGATCAACTAGTTGTTTTTTTATAGCTCATGATGTAATTAGTTGTTCAATGTACTTTCCAACTGTTAGGTTTCAGGTTCGAATCAAACTTTAATTATTTATAATTTGATTGACCGGCTGGTCTGTCTATCTTTCAAGAACGGTTTTTCATGATTTTCTAGCTTCGATTGACTCATAATCTCAACTATTAAAATTACTATAATGTCCACAAAACCCCTTCTGAGATTAATCAACATATGCTCATTAGTGACTGGCGTTCTAGTGAGAAGCATTGACCAGTGGAGTTCAACCGGGTCTGTTGTGATATAGTAACTCACTGAAGATAATGGTGGATATGTGACTCAATTTAGTGGATTAGTTGAAGTTAGACATTAACACCGTTGAATGCTGGCTCAGTGTATTAGAGGTTAAGCGCTCACGCGCGAGACTAGTAGGTTCTGGGTTTGGATCTCACGAAGTAGGGTCGTGTATGCGCACTGCTCATAAGTCCCTCAGTAGGACGAAATAGCCGTCCAGTGCTTCCAGGTTTTTCATGATGGTCTAACTTCAATTGACTTATGATCTCAACTATTAAAATAAATATGAGTTCAACTACTAAAATTACAATATACACAAACCTCCAATCTACAAAAAAAATGATTTAATCCATTACATTCTGATTTATATTTAATTTGTTGAGTTGTATTTATTTCATGAATACTTTAGTGTTTACTCGTATATATTTTTAAGTACTTCTACTTAAGTTTAGATTAAGGTATGTACAACTAGGTTATTTTGCATCTTTTTTAACTATTCTATTTTTTACAGTCTACATTCCAAATTGTCTTTTTCTTTTGCATCATTTTAGACAAACTAATTACTAGTAAGTCTCAGTTCGGTTAATAGTAGTTGTTTTTCCCCAAAAGGATATTTTTTGTGTGATTTGTTAACACTGCAATTCCGAAAAATTAGTAATATTAATAGTTGAATACATAAGTCTACCTAAGCTAGACCACTATTAAAATCTTGGAAGCACTGGACGGCCGTTTTGTCCTAGTGTGAGACTTCTTGGCAGTGCGCATTCACGATTGAAGTTAGATATTAACACCATTAGATGCCGGCTCAGTGGTCTAGAGGTTAAGTATTCGCAGACGAGAACGAAGGTTCTGCGTTGGATTTTCGCGTTCGAGGTTGTGGATATGCACTGCTGAGGAGTCCCACATTAAGTCAGAACGGCTGTCCAGTGCTTCCAGGTTCTCGATGGTGGTATGTCTTAAATCGACTCATGAATCCAAATATTTAAATTACTACAATCTCCACAAACCACCATTTTGAAAATTAGTAGTGGACTGTTTTGTTACTTCAGAGTGATAATTATTTTCAATTATCGACAACAACCAATCAAATTATCAGTCAATAGGATAGGCTTTAAGTCAGGGAATTTCGAAGAAATTCTAATACATCAATTCTTTTTGAAATGTATTTTTTAGGACGATAATGATAGCTCTCCCATTAGGCCATACAACATAAGGGACAATATTAACGTAGAGACTGGCATATATATATTGCGCCACACGATATTGGTAAAAGGATGAAAGTATCAAGATGATTATTAAGGTAATAGAAGTGTCAGTTAGGCTGATTACACTTTATTCTCACAGTTCATTCACAACCCATTGATTGGCCTTGAGTAATGTAATTCAAGCAACTTGGCCGATGTGAATTGTATTCAGTTCTAAAGGTTCTTTCGAAGATCCTTAGATAAAGAAACATTGTAACTCCGAGCATATCACAACATACAACTATTTCTTGCTGACATCAGCTTATATCTGTTCGCGGTGGTAACACTCAACTGTAGCTGTTATTTTGATGAAGTAGTTAGGGTTAGATTTTGTGAGAACACAATCGAGGTATATTTGCTGGGACGTTTGTTAATTTTGGTTTTCTTATGACAGAAAGCTCTATCAGAAAGAATGGTCTAGAAAAAGTTGACTATACAAATAACACATCTTATCTCAACCCATAAATCTCCAGCATCTACAATAAGATCATCGAAGTTACTTCCAGCTTAATTTGTTTTTCAGGTGCTTTGAGAAAAAGTATCTTTCTACGTTGTAGGCAACTAGAAAGTGATAGCTTCCTACACACCTCTAACAACACCTGAGATGGTGATATTTAACTTCAAAATGAGTGATTTACATAAATTTCTTATTGAAATAATGATCATTTGGTCAGTGGTGGTCACTAACTGCAAGATGAATTCCTGGAATTCTATTGAAAAATTGTTACGGGAGGAGTCTAATTATATCAAGGAGTAAGACAATCACTCAGCACTATGTTATTGGTCAATATCCTCTCTACATCATGTATTGACAAGTTAGTCATGAATTGTTGCAATGCAAATCAGTGATGGCATAATTTATGATAAGATATATCATTCCTATTAGTAACAAAAAATATGTATTTTATAGTGTACATCACGAACTGACCTTAAATAACATTAGAAATCATGAAGTACTAGACAGCTATTCCGTCTTAGTGCGAAACTCTTTAATAGTGCTTATCGATGACTCCACCTGTGATCCGACTCATCACCTCCAGGTCTTATAACGAGCACTCGTTCTTTAGACCACTGAGTCCATATTTATTGGTTTCCATTCCTAATTTTAATCCGTTCACGATACAAACTACAAAATCTAATCATTTCCACAAAGCCCCCTGTACTAAAAATACATGTATGACATAGAAAAAATAACACTACAATATGAAATCAATCTTATTGAGTTAATTATATTTTGTTCGTTTCTTACTACTGCTAATACCTAAGTCTATATATATAACTTTGACTACTTCTGTATGTATCCTGTTATATTTTGTCTCATTAGACCTAGTGGAAGCTTGTGGCAAAGGTGATTATGAGTCAGTTGAACAATTAATAACATCGTCATCATCAGGAAGTTTACGTATTCGTTGTACAGTAAGGAGGTTTGCTAGTAGACAGTTTCATTTAGCGATAAATTCGCCAAATTCCTCTCATAATTCATCTACCAATTACGTTGTTAATAGTGTTAAATCTATTCATCAACCATTAACTGGTCCAATATCGAATCGTTTGAGAAGTTTAAAATTCAGTAGACGTCTGTTATGGAGTACAGGATCTAATCGAGACAATAAGAGAATGGAGAAGACAGAGAAGGAAGAAGGACAGCAACATATAGACCAACCTCAAAGTATATTAGGATTATTGTCATTGGAAGAAATTCCAAGCTGGAGTTCTGATGAAAATTCTGAATCATATAATTTACAGTCTATGAATAATGATCTATGGGAATGGGCAAGGAGTCAAGTTAAATCTTTGTTGGTTATGTAAGTGAACTGAAGCGTTGTTTTTTCGGAAAATTCTCATGGTAGTTGTTTTGAGAAGTTCTACTCGCTGCTTTCTCGTGGTGGGTTGTTGTATGCAAAACTGAGAGAGAGAGAGAGAGAGAGAAAAGCGAATGCCCGGTGCTTTAACCAGGTTAGTGGATACAGAAGAGCCACCAAGGAGGATTGGAAAACCACCATTCCAAACCAAGGGTGCACATTGGCTCCAGGATCCTGAGGACACAAATTGAGTATAAACCTATTGTTCGTCACTGGCTACCGTGGGACTGCATCTCCTGACGTTGATCCACTGCCTTGTGGATTAAACCTCTAGATCAAGGGTCCGAGGAGTGGCTCCTTAAGAATATCACCTTTGGTTTGGGTGCCAGGACAGTATACCAGCCTTCACACAAATCAGTGGTAACTACTACTGGCCTCATTGTTATTGTGTGGTGCATATGTATTTGGTGGCTCCTTGTACCAATTTCTATGTGTTCAAATAATAAATAAATAAATTTGTGAAAATATTTTTTCGAAGTGTTACATTGATACTAAGTTGTAGGTTGACGCGTTTGCAGTCGATGAAGCTGGTTGTTTTATTGGTCAATAAAATGCACTTGAATTAAATGTATTAAATTATCATAAGTTTAAAATCTATTTCATTTAGGTTTAGTTGATCAAGTTTTTTGGTACTAGCTCTCATATAAGCAGAATAATTCAAAGTCTTGAGTACATAAATCTGTATTTGATGAGTTACATACAGAAAAACTATCGACATTCATTTTGGAAGTATCGTATTTTTTCTGAATTGAATGATATAATCATCAACCTTTGATCGTTTTTCTAGACAACATCATTAGTATATATTTGTGAGAACGAAAGTGAGGTAATAGAATTTTGTTATCACAGCCGATTAGTAGCTTGTTCTGATAACCTAGAATTTTATGGGTTATTTTTCTTACTTGTATGACTGTTGTTCATATTCTCATTTTCATTGTTCTGTCCTGATCTCTGACCTTGTAGTTGTTTATTCTTTAACTGATGAGAAAGGAAAATATTCAATCAGCACAGAGAATACAATCTCTCTAAAATCCTCACCGTAAGCTAAAAAATATTGTCCATCGTAAGGCGACCTGTTTGAATATCTGAGCTATTTGTTCCTGCCATCAGTTATTACAACATGTTATCTGCTTTTGTTTGTTTTAACATATTTTATGCTTACTAATCGCACGACCTATTCAGGAGCATTTATAAAAAGTTTACGACCTTTCGTTGTACAAGTTACAAAAAAGTACAACCAT